TCTCCTATTGAAATGGTGGATTGAAATGTGAAAGTAAGTGTATTCGTTTGCAGGTAAAAGTGTCGGTAGTTATCCGTATGTGTATTTAGCCCTATCCTTTTTGATAGCATTGAATTCATTTGGTATGTTTAAAATGGTGATGAAGGATCGAATACGTGATGGCTACACACCAATCAATGCACCATCTCGTCACGAAATGGATGTCATCAGAGAATTTTGGAATTCATCAGGTGGAAGTTCATTTTATATTGGATGCATTGATCACTAAGCTGATTTCTAGTCCGCCCATGTGACGTCTCAAAATGGATTACAACAGCACAACTTATTGCTGTAGGCTTGATCACTTTCATAAAGACACATTTGAATGGGTGATTGATTAGCATGTGTTGTGCTCGATTGCAATCGATCTGCATCATGATCAACCAATGATAACAGCCATGTTACTAAATTTTATCCTTTCGGCTATTCACGATTGGAAATCCTCACAGCGCATCGGAATATCTCTCGCCGATCCTGTCTGGAATTCCTTCTGATTGTAGTTGATCAATCTATATCGCGGCATCGATCAATCCATCGGATGCCTCTCGTGATGCGCATAGCTCCTCTTTTTTACGAAGCTGATCACTGGCTCTAGAAACAGTTGAATTATGGGATTTCGAAGTTGAATGAGGAGTGAGAATAATCTCTTCGATAGTGGCGTCAACACTAGTAACAATTGATGGAAATAGCCTGAATGTGATGATCATAACAACGCGGAAACAACACGAATGAGAAACGAATGATTACAGTAAAGTGTTATTGAAGGTGATCCTATGATGGCCGTTGTGCTGTTGACGGCACGAGACAATGGCTCGATGTTCAGAGAGGAATATTTCGATGAAGCAAATTCACTTAATAATTTCTTAATGAACAATTTCACGATTGACTATGAGGGTGAATCCGTGTATTATAAAGATGTTTGTGCACCTTATTGTCAGATCAATATCGCAGTTGAATTGCTTAAGGTCAGTTCTCATTGTGATTGGTTATAATTTAAGATGATATGAGATTGTTTGTCAGATACAAGCTGTCAGAATAGCAACCAACAAAAACATAGGCACCTGGATGTAGATTAAACATACCGGTCGGGATCCCATACCGGTCCCAACGATCCCATACCGGTCTCAATGCATGAACCTGAAATATCATGTAATAATTGCAATATAGTATTTGATGTTAGGCAGGAATGGACTATGAAAAAGTTCGTTTAAAAGAAGGTAAGGCACTCTCAACGGATACAACACTGACGTATCCGGTGGCCAAAATCGATGGTATTGACGTGCATGTGGAGCGCACTCTGTTTGGGGTTAAATACCGAGAGCATTTCGACAAGAAAGCTTTAGTTGGAATAAAAGCTGATGACCTACCGAAAAATTTAACACTCTCGCAGATGGTAACAAACATCGATTTTGTTAAGGTAATATAAATATTTATAGTTTATCTTATTGCCTGCCTTCTCATCAAATTATATTCCTAACGAAATCATCAAAAAAAAAATCGCCATCAAATGCTTTTCAAATCCACTCGCAACTTATCGTATTCTGCATAGTTGATCTCCACAGTCACTTTTTGCTCTTTACCACTTCACAACCGTTTTGCCTTCGAGTTGAGGTTCCGATTCTGTGCCGTTAGCAATTATATCGTATAATGGTCACAATTGTGCCATTCAATTCATGATCGTGGACAGTGTTATCTTCTAAGCCGGATTTCTGTATTTCAGGTTATTTTATTGTTGTTTCGCGGTGATAAATTGAACGCCGATCTTGATAAGAAATTAACGTTGTGGGAATTGGGCGTTTTCGACTTTGGTCGTGAGAAATATAACAATCCACTCATTGACATGCAGGTAACTACCGTAGAATTCTTTTCAATTCGTCATCGCTTAATATTTGCTAATGTGTCATATCGTTACAAATCCTCAATATAAATCGACTAAGTATTGAAAAGAGTTTCTCTTCGATATGATAGCGATAACAGTAAACAAACGCAAGCAGTGAATAGTGAACAGAGGGAAGTAATACTGATTCACATTGAAGAACCTAATGAAATTGTTGAATTTTTCATGAACTGATTCAGGTGATTGGTACTGAGATTCTCGATCAAGAAATGATCAAAGATGGTCAAAAAATGACACCGTTCTTCGCTGCAGGTATAGCTTTTCGTGATTAGTTCATGAATACTTCATAAGCAAGCAATGCATTACAGTTTCGAGTATGAACATTTGCAGCAATCAGTTCAATGTCTTTTGAATGATTCTGTGTTATTATCAATATTGATATTTCATAACTATTATCTCTGTTCTCGATATATAGTTTGACAATTATCACTTGTATTTAAAAGCGATATTGTTATCAATCTATACATAGATACCTATATCTTGCATGATCATCGGTTGAGGTTTCCAGAGGATTTGTTTGAAGTCTCATTTTGAAACATTTGTCAGGTTTTGGTTTCATGATGGTATTCGTTGGATTGACTGTATTGTTGAGTGCGATATTCTATGATGCATTAGACTGGGGTAAGGCGTTAGTGGCCATTGGTACAATCCTATGTCCAATTCTATCGATAACAACCACTTACGGGTTAATCTCATTATTTGGTTCACGGACAAATTCGTTTATGTTGGTTATGCCATTTCTTATAATGGGTATTGGTAAGTTATCATTTTTGGTTCGAATCACCAGTTGATCTGTACTCATTTCAAGTCATTTTGCTTCATTGTGATCATTTTCGATCGGTGCTTTAGACCAGTGGTTCTTATAGGGGGTGAAATTACCCATTTTGGGTAATCTGGAGGTGTCAAGGGGTAATGGAGGGGTTCGGGAAATTGGTATTTCATGTAGTTGTTATTTTATGATAGAACGCACCTTCTCAATTTTATGATGAAGGTGTTTTTCATCTCTGATATGTAAATGCGGTTAGTTGATGGCAACATTGAAATTAAATCCATTTGCTTTCTAAATGCCGTTTTAACACGGTTTTCATTCTTTTCCGAGCTGTTACAATCGCTCTCATGACTTTTATCACCAAAAGTGTTCTCTT